TCTCTATATATGCATTTGTGAACTGTTATTTACGATATTTGTAATAATTTTTGTTTAATCACTTTATTTCGACTTTTTTTGCTAATTATGTTTTCGCTCGAACTTCGTTAAAATCTTAACTGTACCCCGAACAACGACCGAAGTTGTAGGAAGAAATTCGCCTATTTTACCGATCTAGGTATCGCCCTTTTTCAAATTTTAATATCGACTCAAAATAATTTAAAAAGACAAATTACAATAAAACGGTTTATTATCCAACTATCAGAAATTTCACAACATGCCAAGGAAGAGAGGAAGGAGCAATTAAATAATTAAAATTATAAAGGATTAAAAATATATATATATATAAATGGGGAATATCGCACTTCTGACAATCGCTGCCAGTGTGTGAGGTAAATTTGGAGAATCCGTGCTTCTCGCATGGACAACTGAATGTGGCCGGCTCACGCGTCGGAAAACCTTCTGATTTATTCGTGTACGCACCAGACGGAAAAACAAAAAGTATCGTGTATCCACAAACACTTCAATAAATAAATAGAATTGAAACGACGCTTTGAAATGTTTTTCCGATGAAAATGAATAATAATAAGTTTCAATAAAAATGATAAAATGTAAATTGAATTTTATCATAACGAGTTTGCTTGAATTTCCTTTCTTCTGAGATCGCAGCAATGCGCGACGAGTAAGCTAGTAATAATATAAATTATATTATATAATTGGTCGAAAAATTCGTTGCCTTCTTAAACAACGCTCTTTCAAATGCTTCGATTGCGCTTAGAATAGCATGCCCGTCAGCCGTTTTTACTTTCGTGTAGCGATCTCACATGCTCTACTCAAGGTGAGTAGGAACTCTCATCAGTCGCATGGTGAGATGGGAAAGCACGTGAGTTGTAACTGGAGACTACCAATTTGACGTCAGAGTATGAGATGGTACCACGTGACGCCTTCAACACGTTGGGCGTTAAAACACGAAAAACTCTAAACCAGTGTTTCTCAACGGGGGCGATATCGCCCCCATGTGGGCGTTTTTCCATGTTGAGGGGGCGATTAATAACAATTTATATTTTGGGGGGCGATATAGTAAAACATTATATTAAGAATAACTATATATTTTATCCGTTATATCGTACAATAATTAAACAAATAACATTATACTAGTCACTAGTCTATTCAATGCAGTACGAATTTGGCGTTAGTCTTGGCCCTCGGCATGGGAATTTATAGTAAAGGGGGCGATACTACGTAACAGTTTTATTGAAGGGGGCGACGATTCGTTAGAGGTTGAGAAACACTGCTCTAAACTAAGGGCCCAAATGACAAATCTGAACCACTCCTTCTGTAAGCAGTTCCCCAATGAATGTTCTGTACAGTATGACCCCGCTTAACGCGGGGGATGCGTTCCTAGACGACAAAGCGTTAAACGAGGTAATTTTAACATAGAGTAAAAAAGGATAGGCGACCGAAAATAAAAAAATTTCACTTTAATTTTAAGTTATTTTTATATTAATTTGTATAATATATGTTAAATAACACATAAACATGTGCACACAGAAATGTATAATATATTAATTAGTTCATTTTTTGTGACGAAAGTCCTGACTTTTCTGAAATTCTTGTTTTTTGTTTTTGCAATAAAGTCGTGAAGCTTCATTTGTCGCTTTTTTCTTTCCTTAAATTATTATTATATATTATGAATGTTATCCTCAATATTTTAATTTCATTTTTCTTCATCAAAATATAAGAATAAAGCAATATTTATAAGAATTTAAGGAACAGTAAGCCAGTGGAAATGCGATTATCTGAAATGGCTTTAAAAAACTTAGACGTGTAAAATGTGTAAAAATTTAGCTTGTTTTGCTTAATTAGCTAATTAGTAACAGACCAAATTCAAAGATAATTCCTTTGAATTTGGTCTAATATTACTCGCAACAGCTTGGAGAAAATGATGCATTATCTCATATATCTGGGATATCTGGCTTAAAAAAAAATTCAGCCAAATATCCGATCACGTGCGCTTGTTTTCGTCGGTGCCGGGGAATGTTCGAGCAGACCTCACGTTTTTAAATGTTTTTAAAAACCGTTTAAATTTTCAAATTGTAAATCAAATTAATTTTTTCAATTTACGTTGTTTGTGTATGGCGATGACGTTACATTTTGCTTTTAATATATATGTTACCGCTAAAGCTAGAAATCCGTTAATGTGTACATTACCTAGCTAATCTGCAGATTAACTAGAATGATCCGTTAAAGTTGTGAAAATTGTTCCATTTCTCAAATTACCTAGATAATGTGCAGAATATCTAGGTAATCCGCACATTACCTACTAGGCACTCGGTAAAGTGAAAATAAGATCTTTGCCACAAATAAATGTACCACAANTAAGTTTCAATAAAAATGATAAAATGTAAATTGAATTTTATCATAACGAGTTTGCTTGAATTTCCTTTCTTCTGAGATCGCAGCAATGCGCGACGAGTAAGCTAGTAATAATATAAATTATATTATATAATTGGTCGAAAAATTCGTTGCCTTCTTAAACAACGCTCTTTCAAATGCTTCGATTGCGCTTAGAATAGCATGCCCGTCAGCCGTTTTTACTTTCGTGTAGCGATCTCACATGCTCTACTCAAGGTGAGTAGGAACTCTCATCAGTCGCATGGTGAGATGGGAAAGCACGTGAGTTGTAACTGGAGACTACCAATTTGACGTCAGAGTATGAGATGGTACCACGTGACGCCTTCAACACGTTGGGCGTTAAAACACGAAAAACTCTAGATCAGTGTTTCTCAACGGGGGCGATATCGCCCCCATGTGGGCGTTTTTCCATGTTGAGGGGGCGATTAATAACAATTTATATTTTGGGGGGCGATATAGTAAAACATTATATTAAGAATAACTATATATTTTATCCGTTATATCGTACAATAATTAAACAAATAACATTATACTAGTCACTAGTCTATTCAATGCAGTACGAATTTGGCGTTAGTCTTGGCCCTCGGCATGGGAATTTATAGTAAAGGG